AGTGTAAATGTAATTGAGATGCCCTCATTAAAAGAAAGGCAAGGGTGACTACAAAAAGTAAAAATTGATGCCAAAGTCAACATCCATAATTAAAGAAGTCATAGCTTTACAGACTATACTGCTGTTCATGTCCAGTAGAACTATTGTGAGTCCCCAAAAATGTCCTGACCTCAGTAAATAATGCATCTGTTCTACTACCAACAATATAGGAAGAACTATCTCCAACCTTTCATTGATGTTTTCCAACATGGGATCCTCTACTACATCCAATGATAAAGCAATTAAAATGGCACTATGTACTGGGTCTACTGCATTGCATTGCTGTCTGCAGCATTCACCTGATATACAAATGATATCAGCCAGCATCTAATCAGGAAGTGCTCTGCAACAACTCTTTCCACTTGGGCAGTATCGTGCTGTGTTTCTCAATTTCCTTTTTTGCAGAGGCAATGTTTGAGATAATGATCTCTTGCACACTAGCCTAAAATAACCTTTAAGCTCAATGGTGCTTCAACCCGTTTCAATTGGAAATGTGAGTTTATCACCGGTTCTCAAGGCAATGTAACTGTTCAACCTCTTCACCTTACATTACTAGGTTTCTTTGTTCATTCAGTGATGTCACTTTTTCATAGCTTCATGGATATGTGAGCTTTCTAAATCCATCTTGCAGTTTCAAGGTCTTCACTGCTTTTCTAAGTCTCTGCTGTTTTGTGAACACTGAATATTGCTCTGAATTGCACTTCAGAAGTGCTGCTTAGTTTACCTCATTTAGTCAGTCCAATGGTCAGTCTTAATGTTGTATTTTGGTCAGTCCTGTGGTCAGTTTCAATGCTGTTTGATTAGTCCTGTGTTCAGTTTTGGTGTTGTTTGGTCAGCCTTGTGGTCAGTTTCGGTGTTGTTTGGTCAGTCTTGTGGTCAGTTTCGGTGTTGTTCGGTTAGTCTTGTGGTTGTTATGATATCACTTTAAATGGGAACAAGCTAAGGAGCAAATAGCCAGAATGTGGAATACGTGACCAGAAGCCTTTGCACAGTCTAGTTTGTAATGTGACTAAGTGCACCTGTGATTTCATGTAACAATAGTTGGTACAGGAAACTTCAAAGGTGATAGTATATCATAGAATCCCTACAGGGTGGAAACAGGACCTTCGGCCCAACAAGTCCACACCGACCCTCACAGCATCCCACCCAGACCCATCCCCTTATAAGCCACCTAATCTGCACACCCCTGAACACTACGGGGCAATTTAGCATGGCCAATCCACCTAGCCTGCACATCTTTGGACTGTGGGTGGAAACCAGAGCACCCGGAGGAAACCCATGCAGACACGGGAAGAATGTGCAAACTCCACACAGACAGTCTCCCAACGGTGGATTTGAACCCGGGTCCCTGGTCCTGTGAGGTAGCAGTGCTAACCACTGAGCCACTGTGCTGCCACATGCAGCAATAGTGAACCACATGTCAGGGAAGATACAACTCAGTCATTTAATTCTCCCAGAAAATATAATGCAGAAGAACACTTTGGAAGATATGGAATGAAACAGCATTGTTCAACATGAATATCATCACCACAGCTTGTGCAATACATGCTGAAGAAAAATGGCACAATCTGGGTATGCTTGGACCCAAGACGTCTAAGTATTACTTTAAAGAGATGCCCGCATAAAATTACAGGTCTAGAACAATGGGAATCTAAATTCAGTGGAACTAAATTATTTTCCAAGTTGGACTCCAACGTTGGATATTGGTCAGTTCTTGAGGTAGAAGGATCTCAAGAACTCACAAACTTCAGGACACCATTTGAAAAATACTACTTCCAGAGACTGCCCTTTGATTAATCCAGCAGTATATGGAGAAAGTATTCCTGGACACACATGTATTGCCAATGATACACTAATATTATGAAAGGCAGTCCAAAGAAGGTTCACTAGGTTGATCCCAGGAATGGAGTGACTGTCTTATGATGGAAGATTCAACATATTGGAGTTGCATTCTGGGAAATTTAGAATAATGAGAGGAAACCTTAATGAAATATTTAAGACTTTTAGAGGACTTGACAGAGTAGTTGTGGAAAGGTTATTTACCTTTGTGGGAAAGTCTAGGACCAGAGGATACAGAGTAAAGGTTGCAAGTTAAACACATGGATGAGAAGGAATCTTTTTCTGTCAGATGGTGGTCAATATGTGGAATTCTTTATCATAAAGGGATGTCAAATCTGGGTCACTAAGATTATTCAAGGCTGAGAAAGACAAATTTTTAATTATTATTGGAATCCAGGAATATGGGGCTAAGGCAGGAAAGCAAATTTGAAGATTATTAGTTCAGCCATGGTCTCAGTGAACGGTGAGGTAGACTCGATCAACTGAATGACTTACCTTTGTTACTACATCCTTTGGTCTATGGTCTTATATTAGTGATGGGTAAACCCAAAGAAGAGCATAACCAAAATCTATACTCACTAATGATAGCAGCTCATTGTGTCGGACTTGTCTTTAAAAGCAAGAAATGCCATTGCATTCAAGTCTGATTAACTTTCTCAATTCTATCAATCAAGAAATCTATCCTGGCCCAGGAAAACTCAAAGTTGATGGCCATGCTGACTCGCCAGAACAAAGAGGACCTGCAGAGACACATCAATATTTTGGCCTCTAAGCACTTGTATGTCAAAGTTTTCAGACAAAACTTTTTAACAATTATTGAAGGGCATTCTACAAGGATGGCAGAAGACCATGAAAGAAATAGCCTTGGACGTTGATGCATCTCAAAATTTTAACCACAATGACCAACCTTCCTAGAAGATGAAGGAGTCGGGGCAGGAAGGGTGAAGGTGCTGCTCTATAAAGGAAGTGAGAGAGGATGTCCCTCCAACTTCATTCATCAACATTACACCAAGAAGGAATGATACAGCCTCAACCTGGAACTCTTTCTTAGCCAGAACTCTGACTGCATTCAAGGGCTGTCAGCATTGCTAGAAAGGCCAGCATTCATTCTGATCTTTAATTGTCCTTGAGATGGTGTAACAGGTGCTACCAGCTATATTGGGAGGGAACAGACAACAGACAACCTTTCCTCATGTTGATGGCTGGTTTCACTGAGAGAAACCAGTTCTAAATATCAGCTGCAACAAGGAAAGTAAGCATCTTAATTGAGCGTAGAGAGCCAAGCTTCCCTGCCGCCAACATGAATCTTGAGCCTTGAGCTAATCATCCCAGTCTTGATCTCCAATCTAGATGCTAACCCTGACAGTCTCAATTAGTCTCAATTATTAATTCTTGGGAATGTATATGTAGTTTGCCAATAGGCTATTAATCCCTAACAGGGACAAGACAAATTATTCCTTCAACTAATTAATTTTACTCGGGGAGAACTCAGGGTGGTTGACAAAGTACTGTCAAGTCCTGACTGATAGACTTGGCCTCATAGAGAAGAGAAAGCACATTTTAAAAAAATTGCACCTCATGTGTTTTTTGAATCTTTCTCTTTTCACCTTAAAAATATGCCCTCTTGTCTTGAAATACCCCACCCTAGGTAAAGACACCTGCCATTCACCTTATCTATACCCCTCATGATTTTATAAACTTGTATAAGGTCAGCCTTCAACCTCCTACGCTCCAGTGAAAGAAGTCCCAGCCTATCCAGCCACTCCTTATAGTTCAAACCCTCCATTCCTGGCAACATATTGGTAAATCTTTTCTGAACACTCTTCAGCTTAATAACGTCTTTTCTATAACAGGGTGACCAGAAGTACTCCAGAAGAGGCCTCACCACCATCCTGTACCATCTCAACATGAAGTCCCAATTCCTATACTCAAAGGTCTGAGCAATGAAGGCAAGCGTGCTAAATGCCTTCTTAACCACCCTATCTATATGTGATGCAAACTTCAAAGAATTATGCACCTGAACCCCTAGGTCTCTCTGTTCTACAACACTACCCAAGGTCTTACTTTGAATTGTATAAGTCCTGCCCTTCTCATGAAATAACATAACAATGAGTACAGAGGACACAGTCATTGAGCTTAACTACCCTACGTCCGGACCTGTTGCGATCTGACACCAGACATTCCCCTTCAAACTCTATCTGATCACAGTGGGCCATAAGGCCTCCTACTGCAGCATAACGCTTCTGTGATCTGATGCAAAGACCATAGTGATGAACTCCTGACGTCCATTTGTAAGGCAGTTCCTCCTTAACACTCAGGCAATTAAACTTCATTGTACTGTCATTGGTCAATGCTCTCGGAAAAACATTGATAAATGTTCCAAACACATAACTATGCAATGGTAGCTTAATTAACACATTTGCTCACCTGAAACTTAGTAGGTAATTTTAAAGAAATTTTTATATGAACTATGCAAAGTACAGAATGCATTGTTGCTGGGTTTGTGTGAATAATGCTGTGTTATGATTTAGAAATAACAGAATGTATGAGAAGTGTAATGATTATTTTCTGAAAAACATAGGAAACAAAAATGAGTAATTAAAAAGTGGAATAAATAATTTCTCAATTCCAATAGTCACTTTTTCTTTCCAGTCCAAATGCAGCAGCTGAACAAATAGTTGCACAAAAACGTCTTGAATTTGTCCAAGTATAAAATGGGTGATCAGTGAATCGAAAGCTAGTTTTTTAATTCTCTCCAGTTTCATTTCTCAGTCAATGGTAGAGATGTAATATGGCTGTTAATTTATTGCCCCCCCAATTAACATAATCAGAAAAAAGTCAGAATCAACAGGAGTCCACCAGTTGATAAATGAATTTAGCTGAATTGAATATTGCGAACGTGTGAGCATAAATGGAGCTGGTCCTGAACAAGGTGACCAAATGTGACACTTCCTTATTGTCATGCACAGACTGGAAAGTGTTCTGTGCAAGACAACTGACAAGTAGCATTAGACTGTGCTACATGTAGAATCACATACTGACCTAACATGATTGGTCTGTATGATATTATACAGCTCCCACACTGTACCTGTGACACTCAAATCATGTTTGGAAGTACTTACGGCACCCGTAGTGTAGGGAACTTCTGAATGTCATTTTCGGACATGCTCTGTAAATTAAAAAAAAATTGCTTTGTTTAGAAACAATTGTTTTTAATGTAGATACAGTAGAATCAAATATAGTGAATCAATTTAAAGCAGGTGCATAAAGACATAAAGAGTGGCAAATAAACTAGGTTGAGTTGCACAATTTTGTGTGAGATCTGTTAAAATCTTCTGGCCTTTTCCTACAACCTTGTTTCTGAGGGTTTGCTATGGATATCTGTTGGATTTGTCTACATTTATTGATAAATGTACTGCAGTAGTTTGCCATTGCATACTGCAGGGTGACTGACCAGGAAACTCCTGTTCTTACCACCTGCCATCTGGCATACTGGAAGGATTTACAAGCTGACAATCAACCTGCTGACCAAGTTATGAATATACACTTCAGGACTTATAAGTGGGATTCGAATTTAGAGTTTCTGATCTAGAGGTTGTGATGCAACACAACTCCTCCCTATTAAAACCAACTAATAGGAAAACTGGTTCAAACAACACTGAAAAAGACTGGATGAAAAAGATCAGTTGGTCCATTGAGCCTATCATGTTCTTCAGTGTAAATCCCTTACCCACCTGTACTCCCTTTCCAGTGGATGCAAATTCCATGATTCTCCCCACCCCCCTCCCATTAACATTAAAATCCACCATGACCACTGCAACCTCCCTTCAAACCGAACACTCCTTCCAACTTTATCCACCAGCTACCTAAACTACAGGAAGACTGAAAGTGAGTTGCTGTTGAATTTCTCTACGAGGTCTTGGGAGTCACTGAGTCTAAAAGTCACCCTGAGAGATTCCTTTCACAGCCTTTCACAACCCTGTATCACCCACTGACCCTGAGTGTAATTAACAAAGATTTCATTATTAACATTATATTACCAGCCCATGTCTCTGCTTACTTGCAAAAACTTTTTTTCTTAAATGCTAAACAATTTCTGTTCTTATCTGATTTACACTTTCACGTGACACCTCCTTACTTTGTATCTTGATAAATGTAAATGGCTTAAAGGTTGCATTTAATAAGTGCCAAGGTATTAATAAGGACATTCAACGATTAGTTATCAACAGGGTATTATTGGATAAAGTATCTTTAATTACCCTTGAATAATTCCAAAGCTCTAGCCTACACCACAGAGATTCCTGCACAGGAGGAAGCCATTTGGGGTCCATTGTGTATCAATCTCAAACTAATCCCACTGCCTTGCTCTCTCTCTCTTGCTTTCTATCCCTGTATCAATCACAAACTCATCTTTCTGACCCATTCTTCCCTCATAGTCTGTATCAAATCCTAAACCAGTCCCATGGTTGCTGTGTTCTCCACACTGTGTTGCTGCCTGGCCTGTTGTGTTCCTCCAGCTCCACACTGTGTTGCTGCCTGGCCTGCTGTGTTCCTCCAGCTCCACACTGTGTTACCTCTGACTCCAGCATCTGCAGTTCTTACTATTCCCCTGGTTGTACTCCATCTCTATAGTATTGTCTCAATCCAAAACTCATCCCGTTGCCCTGCTCTCTCCCCACAGCTCTGTATCAATCCCAAACTAATCCCAAATCTCCCCATAGCCCTATCTCAATCACAAACTTATCCCACCTCCCTGCTCTCTGCTTACAGCCCTGTATCAATCCCAAACTAACCCCAATGTCGTGCTCTATCACCGTAGCTCTGTATCATTCCAAAACTCATGCCATTTCTCCATTCCTCCCTGTAATCCTATATCAATCCAAAGCTCATCCAACTGCCTTGCTCTCCCCAAACTCCACATCAATCCCAAACTAGTTCCATTCTCCCTCCACGACTCTATTCCAGCTTCAAACCAATCCCAGTGACTCTTTCCTCCACAGTCTATATTAATCACAAACTAATCCCAATGCCCCATGCTCTCCCCATAGTACTTTATTAATCCCAAACTATTCCAACTGCCCACTTGCTCACCATAGCTCTTATCAATCACGAACTAATCCCACTGTCCTGACCACTCCCACAGTCCCAAATCAATTGGAAAATTGATTCAATGATTCACACCCTCTCTCTCCATGGTTTGGTTCTCGATCTAAATTAAACCCACCACTGGAACATCAAGTCCTGTGAAGGTCCCGACCCGAAATGTCGTCTTTCCTGCTCCTCTGATGCTGCCTGACCTGATGTGTTCCTCCAGCTCCACACTGTATTGATACTATCTCCAAAGGTGTATGTCTGGAACAATCCCAGGATTTGGCAATTAGAAAAGTCAGCAGCAAGTTTAAGTCTGTGTGTGTGGGTGCGTGCACATACATTGTTTTTAGAGCTCCCCTCTCCCACCATAAAGAGCCCGCCTTACTGCCCATTGTGTAGGCTGCTTAGTAGTTAGTAAAAAAAGGAATGAGTTTGTTGGACCGCTTCACTGGTCATTTCTCAGTATTACAATCAGGGTCCGAGTTATATCATCCTTCTGACCTCTGATATCAGCACCAATCTATAATATCCATAGACCATAACCAGTGTCTTGCTTCACAGAACTCGGAATGCTAACTCTGCTTTCTCTTCACAGCAATTTATATTTTTTGTTTGTTCCAGATCTCCAGCATCTGCAGTTTGTTGTTTTATTTTTGAGTTAAAATCAACCCTGCCTTTCCCAAGCTTGTGCCTTTGTCACCACATTTTGGAGTAATTTGAAAAACTGTGTAAGTTTGGCCTTTTCTACACCATGGAGTAGTGTGGCATTCTGGGTTTAATTTTAGGGTACAAAGCTGGTCAGATGAAAGGATAACTACTGGGAGAGCACTTTACTGGTAAGTGATTATTAATCAGTTAGATTTAACATCATTATAGAAAAGGAAAAAAAACAACATCAGAGTAAAGGTTCTACATTGACACAGGAAGACCAATTTTACCAGCTGATAAACCATTTAGTCAAACTGAACTGGAAACTGCAATAAGAAGATAAATCAGCAACATAGCTATTGAGGCTTTCAAGCAGGAGATTCAAGGGGTCGGAGTGAGTATTTTCTCAAAAATAGGACAACCACAGGCTCCTGAATGACAAGGTGCATAAGGCTAAGATAAGGGGAAAAAAAGTCAAAACATATTGATATTAATTCTGCAGAAAAGCTGAGATGAGTATAGAAAGTATCAGCATGAAATTAAAAAGGAAATTAAGAAAACATAAAGCCGACAAGGAAAATACTGACAAGTAATACCAGGTAAAATCCAGAGATGTTTTAAAATGCATGAGGAGTAAAAGGATAACCAAAAATAGAAAAGGACCTACTGGAGACAAAAGAAGTAACCTAGATTGAGCAGAGGATGTGGGGGAGGTTCTAAATGTTTCATGGCGGTATTCATAACACTGGAGGCTGAAGAATTTCAAGAACTGAATGAATCAGCTTAATTGCCACGTATACTCAAATGAGTACAATAAGAGTTTATAAGTCGCCACTTACAGTGTCATCTTAGGTACAAGGGTACCTAGGTACAGCTTCTTCAGTTACAGATTAGTTACATTGTAACAATGTCACCAAAACACAGCACCATCTTAGGAACACAGTAGCTAGGCATAATCCTTAGTTACAGAATAGAGAAACAATGAGAAAAAAGTTATACGCAGTATAACTACAGGTCAGGAAAAACCAGAAGCAAGTTAAAAAAACAAACATCAGTCTCTCTCCAAGTGCTCTCTGCAGCAGACCAATGCATGGGGCCTCCACATGGTCTGACCACTGGCTACCGCTACACACTGCACTAGGCCACTTCTGCCCATCCTGTTCTGGGCCACTGCCACCAATCACATTCTGGGCTGTTGCCATTACACTCCACACTTGACCGCTGCAGTCACTGCCACAATGCTCCGCAATGGGCTGTTGCTGACATGCTTCGTCCTGGGCCGCTGCCCCTGCTTTGCAACGGGCCATTGGTCGTTGGCGTCCTGATTCCGGACATGCTGGTCACTGGTGTCCCCGCTTCGGGCCACTGACCCCACTTTGGAAACTGAAAGCTGGCAATTGGGACCAGGTGTGTGGGGCTGAGAGTGCAAGAGACAGAAGAGGAGAAGAAAACCACAGAAGGGAGGAAAAGAGGGAGAAAAAAAATCATAGTAGAGGAGGAGGACTGTGAAATATTGGATGGGATAAACTTTGTAGGAGAAGAAATATTAAAGGGTTTGCCATCTTTGAAAATAAATAAATTGTAAAGTGGCTGAAATATATCCCAGATTGTTAAAGGGAGGTAGGGAGAAAAGTGCAGGGGCTCTGACCATCATTTCAATCTTCCTAGGCTACAGAATTGGTATTAGAGGTTTAATCAGTTTTAGAAGAAAGAAACAATAATTTGAGTAATTATAGGCCCATTATCTTAACTTCGGTTATAGGTAAATTAATCAACTCTGAAGAAATGTGTAAAGATATAGAAAGGCATGGATTAGCCAAGGAAAGTTAGTATGGATTTGTTAATAGAGTCATGTATGACTATAATTGATTGGAGGTTTGAAAAGGACAGCGTAGTAGATATGGTCTGTATGGATTTTAGCAAAGATTTTGACAAAGTTCCACATACCAGACTAATCAAAAAGATAATGCCCTTGGGATCCAAGGGAGAGTGACAAATTGGATCCAAAGTTAGCTTCATTGCAGAAGGCAAAGGCTAATGTTTGACAGATTTAGAAGCTCAAGAATGGGCATCCATGACATGCTGTGGGCCATCAAAAGCAACTGAATCATATTTCAACACAACCTGCAAACTCAGAGCCCATTATTCTCTCATTCAACAATTACCATCAAGCCAAAGGATCAACCCTGGTACAATGGAGAGTGCGGGAGGGCATGCCTAGGGCAGCACAAGGCACAGCTAAAAATGAACTGTCAACTTGGTGAAGTTACCAACAGGACTGCTTCTGTGCCAAACAGCAAAGCTAGTAACTGACAGAGTTAAGTGATCCCACAACTAATGGGTCAGATCTAAGCTCAACAGTCCTGCCACATCCAGTCATGAATGGTGATGGACAATTAAACAACTCACTGGAGAAGGATGCCCTACAAA